AATTTCGCGGTGGGGGCTAACACCGTTTGCCGCCTCGCTTGATACGGTTGGTTACTTTGCGCACAATGTTCATGACTTAATTGTGACAAGCCAAGTAGTGTTTGGCGTTGACGAATCGGACATGACTAGCCATGCGGTAGCTACGCCCACCCTAATAGCTAAGCGGCCGCGACGAGTGATCATGCTTAGTAACACAAGCGTTTTGAGTGAACCCGTGCGCACGGCCTACACGGCGCTACAAGCGCGCCTAGAAAAAGCTGGCATAGTTGTCCAAGTCGTCACGCTCGATGAGACTTTACTCAAAGCAATTGACACTTGCTACATGGTCGTCGCTTTTTCGGAAGCTTCATCCAACACCGCTAATTTAAGCGGAATTAATTTTGGTCACACTCAGCTTGCCGCTAGCTGAAATAGCATTATGGAGCAAACGCGCTCGCACGGGTTTGGACCAATGGTCCAACGGCGGTTGACCCTCGGCGCGTTTTATCTTCTTAAAGAAAACCAACGCACCATGTACGATAAGGCCCGGGCTGTGCGGCAAAAAATTGCCATGATGTTTAATGAGCTCTACGCCCAAGCTGACCTAGTGATTTTCCCGGCCGCGAACGTTGCCCCCCGCATTAGTGACGGCAAAGCTAATAACTGGCATAGCGCCTACTTAACTCACGCTAATTTGAGCGGCAACCCTTCATTGGTCGTGCCCTGAATCAAAGAAAAAGGCCTCCCGGTCGGCCTTGCGCTCGACGGTCCACTCTACCAAGACGCGCGGCTTTTAAGTCACGCGCTCTACCTTGAAACGCTACTTGGTGATCATGATGAATAAAGCGGCGTACGAATTAATCATCGGCATCGAAGTGCATCTTGAGCTTAATACTAAAAGTAAAATGTTCTCGAGCGCCCCGAACGACTTTAACTTAGCGCCCAACACGGGCGTAAGCGTGATTGACCTGGGGTACCCCGGAACCTTGCCCGCGCTTAACAAAATGGCGATCGTGAAAGCATTGCAATTAGCAAAGGCGCTTAACATGCACGTGACCCCTGAACTACGCTTTGACCGCAAACACTACTTCTACTACGATTTACCCAAGGGGTACCAGATCACCCAACAAAACCATCCGTTTGCCACTAACGGCGTTTTGCCCACGGCCCTTGGCCCTGTTGCCGTGCAACGGTTTCACCTCGAAGAAGATACGGCCCAGAGCGTGCGGAACGCAAGTGCGTTGCTACTTAACTACAACCGGGCGGGCGTACCGCTCATTGAAATTGTCACTGACCCCGTGATTACTTCAAGCGCCAAAGCGCTCGCCTACTTGCGCGCTTTGCGGGAACTAGCGCTAGCGCTAGACATTTCTGATGCGCGGCTCGAACAAGGGTCAATGCGTGCAGACATTAATCTCTCGCTCCGCTCCGCGGGCACGAGGATGTTCGGGACTAAGGTCGAAATTAAAAACCTGAATTCGTTCCAAAACGTGCAACTCGCGATTGATTACGAAGTTGCCGTCCAAACGGCCACTCTCGCCGCGGGCAAAAAGGTAATCCAAGCGACTAAACGGTTTGACGAAAACTCCCTCACAACCCAAACCATGCGCGTTAAAACCGCCGCGATTGACTACCGCTACATTCCGGAGCCCAACATCCCGCCGCTGACCATTACGCCCGCCTTGTACGCGGCGGCCACCGTTTTGGAATTACCGTGAGAACGACGCGATCGCTACGCGAAGCTGGGCATTGAAGAGCAATACATTAATCAGCTCCTTGACGACCCACGGAAATACCACTTTCTAGACCAAATTGCTTTTGTCGACAAAAAAATGTTAGCGCGCACTTTTTTTGGTGAAATCGTGCAACTCGCGAACACCACGGGAAAGCCCGTTGACGAACTTGGCATTACCCCGTTTGATTTTAGCGCTGCGCTAGAAGCAGTCGCTAGCGGGATGATCTCGGCCAAGCAACTAAAAACGCTAATTCCCTTGCTAGTTAATAACCGCGTGCCAGTAAGCACTCTACTAACACAACATCAGCTTGTACAACAATCCGACCGCACGGTTTTGCAAGCAGTCATTGCTAAAATTGTTAGCGACCACATGAGCTTTATTCAAACTAACGCAGCGCGGCCCGAACGAGTCCGCAAATTTCTTATTGGCCTTGTCATGCAAGCGACTAAAGGCCAAGCTAACCCCGTGCTCACCGCGGCGCTTGTTGACGAGGCCTTAACCGCGCATGAATAAAAAATGATGGCCAAAATCGCGGCGCTTAAAACTTGGAAACGACAAACCGCCGCTGACGCCGCGGTCTTTACCACCAGAGAAGCACCCTAAAGAAACGCGAATATTACTCCGCCGGATTCGCTCGTTTCGTCGTCGTAGCTATTTGACTAACCTTATTATTAGCCGGGATAAGCAGCGCCGCGCAAGCATCGCCGAAAAAATCATTAAGTTCATCATTTACGTGGCGCTGCGCCTCGTGATTCGCCCCGCCAACTGAAAAGATTCCAAACGCAACTACTTGCTAATTGATAAAGCTTATGAGCGAATCATTTCCCCCGACTTTATTTACATCCCGTCTTCACTCGCCTTTTACATCATTATGGCGTTCGTGCCCATTTGCTCGGTTATTTTGCTCATCAATTCGCTAGAATTCATGCGCCCCCTATTGCAAGTAGGCGACCGCAACGCGTTGCAATATATTTTTGGCGACTTCATTCCCGGGCTTAACGCCCTACTTGACCAAGTAAGCCAAGCGACTAACTCGAGCGCACCGGCGATTGCCCAAGTCGGCGCTTACACGAGTATTGTTGTCGGCCTACTCATCTCGGCCTGAATCGCAAGTGGCGGCTTTGCAAAACTAGTTTTTACCCAATCACACATGTATGGTCACCGCTACGTAGGTGGCTACTGAATGAACCGGCTTAAAGGCGGGGCGATGGTGAGCGGCTTTACCCTCTACTTAATCATCGTGCTCATTGTTAATGTGGCAGGGGTGCGGGGCATTGAAGAAGCGACCATGCTAAATGCAATGAGTAAGCAAGCGTTGCGGTACATTTTTCTTTTCGTGAGTCTTTTTGGCTTTGTGTTTTTAGGCATTGGTATTTTGTACCGGTACTCGCCCCGGTTTAAAACGCGATGAAAGTGAATTTTGCCCGGGACAATGACGACCACCTTGCCCACTGTCGGTTTTTTAGTCCTCATTGGCCTGATCACGTCGCGCTGAAGCTACGGTAATTTTGGCTCGCTCAGTGTGGTGATGTACATCGCAATGGCGTCGCTCATTGTGACGTATTTTATCTTTGTTGGCATTACCGTGAACGCGGCTTACCACCACGCTTTTGTGGGCCGGATTGAAAAAAAATGAACGATCTCGCGGAAATAACCTTGCTTATAATTAACCCATGGGGTTTTTTCAAAAACTAAAGGCGCGGCTTTTTAATTTAGAAGCTGCGCCGGTAAAAGTTGTCCCGCCCGCGCCGACGCCAAAGCTAGCTACCCCGCCAGCTCCAACAGAAAATAAAAAGGCGACCCGGGGACTTGCAAAAGCGCAAGCAAAAAAAGATAAGCAAGAAACTAAACTAAAAGCCGAGGCGGCTAAGCAAGCCGCCAAAGTCGAAAAGTATGTCGTGGGGCTCAGTCGCCCCGCAGATGCCTTTCGCCGGGCGATTCAAGAAGTCCAAGCGCGGCACGTTAAACTCGACGAAGCCTTTTTTAATGACCTAGAAGAAGCGCTAATCATGAGTGATATTTCGCTCAAATTGGTTAGCGAACTAATTGAAGAAATTAAACAAGAAGTGCGCATTGCGCGGCTCACGATGCCCAGTCAAATCGCGGAAGTAATTGCTGATAAAATGTTTACCCTTTACGCGAATAAAGACGTTGTGGACACGCGGCTGAACGTCGCGCCCGGACGCCTCAACGTAATTCTCGTGGTGGGAGTCAACGGCGCGGGTAAAACTACCACGATCGCCAAACTCGCCCACCGATTTCGGCAAGCCAACATGCGCGTGGTGATCGCTGCCGGCGACACGTTTCGCGCCGGCGCCGTTGCGCAATTAGAGGTCTGGGCCAACCGCGTTGGGGCCACGCTTATTAAAAGTGCGGCCGCGAGCGCTGACCCTGCGGCGGTTGTTTATGATGCGGTAATGGCCGCCAAAAATTCAAACGCCGAAATACTCATTGTCGACACGGCCGGCCGCCTCCAAAACAAAGTTAATTTGATGAACGAATTGGCCAAAATCAACAAAATTTTAGCCCGTGAAATTCCGGGGGCCCCGCATGAATCGCTCCTGGTGCTAGACGCGACGACCGGCCAAAACGGCGTGCTCCAAGCGGCGGCCTTCCGCGAGGTGACGCCGCTCACTGGCATTGTGCTCACCAAGCTTGATGGCACGGCGAAGGGTGGCATTATTTTAACGATTCGGGATGAACTAGGCCTGGCGGTAAAACTTGTTGGGCTTGGCGAAACGCTCAATGACTTGCAAGACTTTGATTTAGATGCCTTTATTTACGGCCTGACGAAAAACTTAGAAATGAGTTCCCATGGAACTTAATGAACGCGAAGCGTGAAGCCAACTTTTTGACCGCTACCACAAACTTCTCACGCAAACGCAACGCCAAGCGCTAGCCCTTTTCTTACTGGAAGACGTTAGCATTAGTGAAATCGCAGCAGTGATGGCGACCACGCGCCAAGCCGCATCTTATAACGTGAAAAGCGGCCTTGCTAAACTTGCGCGCATTGCTGCCCAAATTGAATAACAAGTTTTGACTATAATTGAAAACGGAACTATTTTGGCAAAGCGCGTTGTGATTAAATTATCTGGCGAAGCACTCACCTCCCGGGATGAGCGGCTTGCCATTGACCCGAAAATCGTGCAAGACTTAGCCCGACAAATTAAAGCGATCACGCAAACGGGCACGCAAGTTGGGATTGTAGTGGGTGGGGGCAACTTTTGGCGCGGGGCCTCGGCGGAACGCAACGGGATACCCCGCAACCGCGCTGACTACATTGGGATGCTTGCCACGCTGATGAACGCCCTTGCTTTGCAATCGGGCTTTGAATTAATTCACATGAAAGCCCGTGTGCAATCAGCCATTCGCATTGATGCAAAAGTGTCGGAAAACTATGTCTTAGAAAAAGCAATTAACGCCCTTGAACGCGGCGAAGTAGTCATTTTTGGGGGCGGCACCGGCCGCCCTTACTTTACTACCGATACGACCGCGACGTTAGTGGCAAGCGAACTAAAAGCTGATCTAATTTTGCTTGGCAAAAATGGCGTCGATGGGATTTATGATGCCGACCCACGCCTCCACAAAGCGGCGCGCCGGTTTGATGCAATTACGTGGGACCAAATCTTGCAATTAAATTTAAAAGTGATCGATGCCACGGCAGCATCAATGGCGCGCGATAATAACATTGAACTAATTTGCTTTGACATCAACGAAAAAGACGCCCTCATGCGCGCCACGACAGGCGCCATTACCCACACTAAGGTGACCCGCTAATGGAATGGAGTGACTACGAAGTGGAACTAGCGCTAGGGATCGAAGAAGCGCTTGAGCACTATAAAAACAACTTGATTCGAATCAACGCCGGGCGCGCAAATCCGAATCTCGTTACGCACGTGAAAGTTGACTACTATGGTGAGCCGACAATGCTTAATGAAATGGCCACAATTGCCGTGCCTGAGGCCCGCCAATTACTAATTAAGCCGTTTGATCCGTCGGTGATTAAACAAATTATCGCTGCCCTGCACTTCACCCACCCGACGCTCAACCCTGTAAATGAAGGTCAACAAATTCGCGTGACATTCCCGGAAGTGACGACAGAGCGCCGGCGTGAGCTCGCTAAATCATTACACACCTATGCCGAGCAAGCGCGCATTGAGGTGCGCAACGCGCGCCACGAGGTGATTAAAAAAATTAAAGCGGATGTGGCGCTAACTGAAGATGATGTGCGGCGTTATCTTGAATCAGTCCAAAAACACGTGGACAAAGCAAACGCCTCGATTGAGCAAATCACCGCCCAAAAAGAACAGGAATTACTCACCCATTTAGCATGCGCCGCACGCTTTCGCTTAAAAAATTTGAACGTTACTTTTCGGCTTTACTCATTAGCGCGGCGTTAATCCCAGTGGGGGGGCCCCTCGTGACAAGTTACGCCAACGAGCCAGGGCGCTACATCGGCCTTGTGCTATTTGCCTTCGTAGGCTACATTGGGCTATTTGAGTTTTACCGCGTCATGGGCCTAAGCAAGTGGCTTAGCGCATTGATGCCGCTGGTGATCGTGCCGTTTTTGCTCATTAATTTTGATGACTTTCAAGCCCTAATTGCTGAACCCGCCATCGCCACGCCGATCCGCGTCCGGTGGGCAATTGGTGATTGAGCAATTTACGTGTTTGTGCTGGCGGGGGCGCTAACTCCCGTAGTTGTAAGTAGCCGCTTTCGCGCGGCGCCCAACCTTCTTTTTAACATCTTACTAATTTACGTGTTCACCCTCATTGCGCTTGTGCTTGTCAAAGTCGTGTGAACGTGATCGATTAGTAATTTTTGATTATTTGCCTTCTTTGTGCTCATTGCCGTGCTCGCTGATTCGAGTGCCTATTTAAGCGGCCGGTGACTCGGCCACCGGCAGTGAAAGCACCGTTTTAAAAACCCGCAACTAAAAAAACTACAACTTAAAAGCGAATGGTTTTTAAACCAGTCCCTCGCGCCACGCCTTTCGCCCCGGAAAACACTAGTTGGTTTTATCGTAAGCCTAATCCTCACTAGCTTGTTTGCTATTATTGCTGGCTACTACACGAATATTTTCGAAATAAACCGCCGAAGCAATTGCGCGGCGCTTTGCCGAAATTAATGCTGAAGTGACGCGGATCATGCACCGCTTTGGCTTTGACAAATTTGCCCTCATAACGCGCCTAGTTGCGGCGGGCGAACTTTTATCGACCGCCAAATCCAACGTGGTGGCACAAGGCCAAGCGGTGCTCGACGCCGAACCGCGCGCTGCCCAACCAAGCGAGCGCGCCGTGCTAACGCGCCCGACCCGGGGCTATGTGCGCGTCGCGATTGACGCTCTTCGCGAAAGCCATGAACTGCGCGTAATTACTGAGGGAGAAATTTTTAGTGTCAACCACCGTCCGACCCGGACAGAGCTAGTGATCACCGAACTAGCGATTACTAATTACCAAGATGCCATCACCGTCAAATTATTTGGTCGCGATGCGACCGAAATTAACCACAATAAACAATTCACGACCGGAGCGCTAATTGAAGTGGCCGGCGACTTACAACTTGACGCCTACACCAAAGAAGCGGTGATTGTCGCGCGTAAAATCACTATCAAACCTAATGTCAAGCAAGCGCGAATGGACAACGCGCCGGTCACCCGGATTGAATTTGGTGCCCGCACCCGAATGAGCACAATGGACGGGCTTGTTAGCGCCAGCGAGCTAGTTAACCGCGTGGCCGCGTGAAACCACGATGCCGTGGCGGTGGTTGACGACGCGTCAGTACAAGCTTTCCCTGACTTTTATGCTGCACTTAAAAAAGCCAAAATCAAAGGTCTTTATGGCGCGACGTTTAACACCACGCCCCGCGCGCTAACGGCGATCACTAATCCGCGCGCGCGCCAAAATTTAATTAATAACACCTACGTGGTGTTTGACTTGGAAACCACCGGCCTTTCGCCTGTCTATAACGAAATCATTGAATTCGGGGCGATGAAGGTGACAAACCAGCAAATTGTTGACAACCTGCGGTTTTTCATTAAACCAACGCGGCCGATTCCCGCCGAAATCACCCGGATCACCGGCATCACCAACGCCCTTGTAGAAAAGGGCGTAAATGAACGCACCGCCTTAACCCAAATTTTAGCTTTCATCAGTGACCACGCGCTTGTGGCCCACAACGCTAATTTTGACATGGGGTTCATCAACGAAAAACTCGCGGCCAACAACTTGCCGCCCCTACTTAACCCGGTCATTGACACCCTTATTTGTGGGCGAATTGTCCATCCGCACGCGGCACGGTTTCGCCTAGAAAACCTCGCCGTGCGCTATGGGATTACTTATGACTCAACAGTTGCGCACCGCGCTGACTATGATGCGGACGTGCTCGCGCGCGTGTGAATGAAGCTAGTGGTTGACTTACAAAACCTCAACATTACCACGCAAAGTGCCCTTGCTGACTATTATGATGAGCGCGTGATTACCAAGGCTTTCAAATATGAAGTGGTGCTCCTTGCCGCTAACCAAAAGGGGCTCAAAGAACTGTTTAAAGCGGTCTCGCACGCGCACACGAAAACCTACCACAACGAACCGATGCTCTTTTGGGAAACGTTAGCCGAACGACGCGATTTACTGCTTGGCTCGGGTGCGCTACGCTCCCGACTCGTTGACCGAATGTTTTTTGGCACGCGCCAACAAGTGGCTGCCGAAATTGCGCACTACGACTACATTGAGGTGCAACCACCCCGCAACTTCGTCCACCTTTACACGCGGGGCATCACCCCCGAAAACGTGCTTGATGCCCTCCGCTTTGTGATCGCGGAAGCAAAGCGGCAAAACAAAATCGTGATCGCCAGCGGTGATGTGCGCTACCTTGATGAAACCGATAAAATCTACCACGAAATTTACATCAATGCCAAGGGCCTGGGTGGTACGCGCCACTACCTTTACTCTAGTAGTGCGAGCGCCCAAATTCCGACCCAAAACTTACTCACCACGGCCGAAATGACCGCTGCTTTTGCTTTTCTTGACGACCCCCAACTAGTGGAAGAAATTGTCATTACCAACCCCCGGAAACTCGCCGCGCAAATTAGCCACATTGATGTGATTAAGCCGGGGCTCCACACGCCCCGGGTGGCTAACGTTGAACAAAAACTTGAAGACGTCGTGTACCGTAACGCCAAAGCCAAATACGGCCCTAACTTGCCAACTATCGTGCAAGAGCGCATTGAAAAAGAATTGCGACCGATCAAAAAATACGGCTTTGCCGTGGTTTATTGAATCGCTCACCTACTTGTAAGTAAATCGCTCAAAGAAGGGTATCTCGTTGGCTCGCGCGGCTCAGTGGGCTCTTCACTCGTGGCGACGCTAGCCAACATCACCGAAGTTAATCCGCTAAGCCCGCACTACGTTTGCCCGGAATGCCAAAGTACTATTTTTGTTGACGCGGCGCTCAATTCAGGTTATGACTTACCCGCGCGCGATTGCGCGACTTGCCACGTCCCCATGCACAAGGAAGGACAAAACATTCCGTTTGAAACTTTTCTTGGCTTTAACGCCGACAAAACGCCGGACATTGACCTTAACTTTTCGGGTGACTATCAACCTGTTGTTCACGATGAGGTGCGCCGCATGTTTGGCGCCACGCACACATTTCGCGCCGGCACGATTTCGACCGTCGCCGAACGAACCGCCTACGGCTACGTGCTCTCGTGGGCCGAAGCTAAGGAAACCAAGCTTTCGCGCGCGTTCACTGATTTTTTAACGCGCGGCGTAGTAGGGACCAAGCGCACGACTGGGCAACACCCCGGGGGCATCATCGTGATTCCGGAAGAATTTGAAGTCGAAGACTTCACGCCGATTAACTTCCCCGCCGATGACCCCGAAGCCGGGTGAAAAACGACCCACTTTGATTTTGTCGCTTTGCACGATAACTTGCTCAAGCTTGATCTGCTTGGTCATGACGATCCCACCGCGATTAAAATGCTTGAGCGCATCACGGGCGTGAACGCGAAAACAGAAATCCCGTTTAACGATGCTAAAGTGGTCTCGCTATTTTCTAGCACGATTGCCCTTAATGTAAAACCCGAAGACATTAATAATGAAATCGTTGGCGTGATGGGCATTCCCGAATTTGGCACCAAGCTCGTGCGGCTCATGCTCCGCAAGGCCCAAGTCAAATCATTTGGCGACCTTATTGCTGTTTCGGGACTATCGCACGGAACGGGCGTGTGAACAACAAACGCCGAAATTCTAGTTCGGCAAGGCAAATCGCTCAACGAAGTAATCTCGTGCCGCGACGACATCATGACCGGGCTCATCGCCAAGGGGCTCGCCCCGCTACAAGCCTTTGAAATCATGGAACAAGTCCGTAAGGGCCGCTCGATTAGTGGTGAGCAAGAAGCCGTGCTAAAAAAACACGAAGTTGCCGATTGGTACATTGAATCACTAAAAAAAATTCGCTACATGTTTCCGAAGGCCCACGCCACGGCCTACGTGATGATGGCCTGGCGCGTCGCGTGATTTAAAGTCTACTACCCGCTTGCCTTTTACGCGGTTTATTTAACCACGCGGGCCGATGTGTTTGAACTAGAAACGGTTTTAAGCGGCAAAGCCGCCGTGCTCAAGCGGCTTAACACGCTTGAACAAAACCGCAATAAAACTGATGCAAGCAAACTAACGCCTAAGGAACAAGAGTTGATTTACATTTTAGAAATTGTCAACGAAGCCTTTGCTCGGGGCATCGAAATCGCAAGCATTGATTTGGCAAAATCGGCAGCC